TTATATTATTATTGGAGTATTTTTCCATTGTCTGTATGCGCAGGTCTGTTCTGCAGAGAAGGAGCTCTGGAAGAATGTGGTTTGCTGAATGAGTAAACCGCTAAAGTATTTCAGGGAAAGAGGACATTCATGGTCCAACTGGGTCGATACGCTGGACAGAGAGAGATGGGGTGATTGCAAAGAGAGCTAGCTAGAAAGAAAAAGTAAGAAAAGAAACCCAAGTCCACGATACAGTAGTTGAGCCCAACATCTGTCTTAAACGCAGGCCAAACCTCACAATATCCCAGAATAGCCCCAAATAACACGGTACAACCATCCTGCTCCAACAGAGTAGATGCCCTCCCATAATCTACTACCATGGAAGTGTATAGCTACCCATTTGATTTAGAATTGTTAAACCCTTAAACCAAGATCAATTTAAAAACAGTAACAACCTAGGCTCATGAAAAATTCTTGCATCTGGTTACAGTTGTTCAAAAATTTTCATGTTGTGTTTTGCACCTTTTTCTGCATTTTTAAAGTAAAATGTTCTTGGGAATGACATTTTCTCAGAAATAAAAAAATGTTATTGTAACAACCTTGAATTATGTTAGTTCTCACTGTATGCATATTGTAGCAACTAAAAAAAATTATTGACTGATAAGGGATAATTTATACAACATCTTAGCCAGTGTTGGGTAAGTTCCTTAAAAAAATTAATAGATTACAAATAACTGATTACTACTGGGAAATTGTAATCTGATTACATTACTAATTACTTAATGTAAAAAGTAATCGGATTACTAATTACTTTACTTTGAAGTGTTTTATAAAACATATAAAATATGCCTATAAAAATACAAAATAAACTGCAGATTTTCAGTAATTTAATATTCACTCAAAGGCATTACAATGCTTAAAAAGCATTTGAGTTCACTCAAAACTTAAAATGCTCTCATCATACAGTTTTTCCAAACCTGTTTGTCTTTTTTTTTTTTTAATAGAAAAGAAAAAACACTGGGGGGCGACGCAGTGGCGCAGTAGGTAGTGCTGTCGCCTCACAGCAAGAAGGTCGCTGGTTCGAGCCTCGGCTGGGTCAGTTGGCGTTTCTGTGTGGAGTTTGCTTGTTCTCCGTGCGTTTGCGTAGGTTTCCTCCGGGTGCTATTGTATCCCCCACTGTACAAAGACATGTGGTACTGGTGAATTGGGCAAGCTAAATTGTCTGTAGTGTATAAGTGTGTATGGATGTTTCCCAAAGATGGGTTGCAGCTGGAAGGGCGTCCGCTGCGTTAAACAAAATGCTGGATAAGTTGGCAGTTTGTTTCGCTGTGGTGACCCCAGATTAATAAAGGGACTAAGCCAAAAAGAAAGAAGAACGAAGTAAAACACTGGATACTTCTAACCATTGACATCCATAGTTTCCAAAAGCATTGCAGTGTATGCGTGTTCTATGTTTGTCCAAGGTAATTAGTCTACCTAAATGTACATATTCCATTTACTTCTATTAGCTGGCCTGGCTTGCATTACTTTCATGCATTTTCTATCATTCCTACGACCAATTGTTTTTTAAATAGGCATTATCTATAAATAATCTTTGAAAAGAAGGCTTAAGATCAAGCAGAGCTTCTCAACAAAGTCATCATCTTTAGCTTTTAATTACACAAGCCCTTTATATTTCAATGGATTTCGAATGGCTGTTAGCGTTTTATCATTTATTTGCTGAAACAATTTGTTCTGATAGTGATCCCAATGATAATTTCTCTACAGTTTTATTGTTACAGTTGTGTTGTGAATTCTGCAGTTGTTTTACATTTAGAATGATTTTAGAACTTTAGATTCCCAGTACTAGTAAGGTGTACCTAATGAAGTGGCCAGTGAGTGTATACTCTAGGTACAATTTGTTAGATGCACATCTTTCTAAAGAGCCCGAGTAGGACAGAACTCTTGATAAACCCCAAAATCAGTTATGGTGTGAAGAGAGCTGCTTTTGAATGTGTAATTTAACAGTCGAATGAAGGAATTAAAAGCTTTAGGATCTGACGAAGCTCTGGCATGTTGCTTTTATAATATGATAAGAGAGACACTTATACTTATAGAGAAATTCAATTATATAAGCTGCGGGAAAAAACAGCTCTGAATGTGTATATCCCTGTATCTAAACCAATTACCAGAGCTGAAGAAAGAACACATTTTATGAAAACAGAGCTGGACTTGTTCTTGGCATTTGGTGCATCTTGTGTCATCTGCTGCAGAGATGAAGTGGAGGGCTATCTGCAATGTATTGAGCGTTCAGACGAGAGGATGAGAAAGTAATTAAAGATAAGAGAGAGTGAGCGACAAGGGCAATGAAAAGGATAGACATCATTTGGATACTTCTCTCCCCTGCCACTCCAGGGAATCTAATCTTCTTTCTGCTATTTTCCAAGCATATGCTAGCAGGATGCTAATTCCACGCTTTACCATCTGATTCTTAACCTACAGGGACTTTTTTTTAATCTTTGTGCTATTTTAAAGTGGAGAGATTCATGTATTCTTTTGACTTAAAAGCTCCTAAAAGCCTCTTAGCTGTGCATTCACTGTAATGATATGCCTCAAGAGGCTTATTACTTTTAAACATATCTTAATCAGGATTATTTCTATATCTGCTACCATTTTTTGCTTCATCTGACCCTTCAAAATCATTTTGTGTAAGCTAATATTTTTAGTTGAATTCAGTCAATAAATATTTCATATTTATAGGGATGTAACGATTCACCTGACACACGAAACGATTCATGATACTAATCTCACAATATTATTTAGTCTCAATTTAAAAAAAGTTATTTGAAACAAATTGAAGTTGAAGAGCCTTTTCATTATTTTAAATGCTGCACATTTTTTGTAAAATAATACATATTCTGCCATAACCAAATTGCTATTTTAGAAAAAAATAAACTAAAGAAAGAATAAACTAAAGAAGACTTTAATTAATACAAACAAACTAAAACTGCGACTGTGCTGGGATTTTCATTTTTAAAAAGAATATAAGAATATCTAAGTTTTCTGGAATAAGCTGAGGTTGGGACTAAGATGGCTGATGTGGAGAGGAAAGCCTTTCCTAAACCAGAGAGCAGTGTTTACAGAGGTGTTCAACGGGCCCTCTGCTCCAGAGCATTGGCCACTATAAAATACTGATTATAAAATTACAAATTGTATAGTAGGATAGAGACAGAAGTTGAACATGGTTATGAATGTGAATAATTGATATTACTTGCATAATCAATTATTATAAGTATCAGTGTAATACACTTAAGAAGAGATAATCTTGAACAATTTAAATAGTCCGTAGCACTCATTAGAGCAAGCGGAGCAGCAAATCATCTGGTTTGCATGAATTGGCACTACTGTGACAGATGTTTTTTTTACTGTGCTGACGGTTTATGCGCATCATATTCATTGTTCTGTTATTGTAAGTCAGGGGTCGGCAACCCAAAGTGTTGAAAGAGCCATATTGGACCAAAAAAACAAAAAACAAATATGTCTGGAGCCGCAAAAAATGTAAAGCCTTGTATAAGCCTTATAATGAAGGAAACACATGCTGTATGTATCTATATTAGCTCTATTAGCCTACTATAAAAATGACTAAGTTGGCTACAAATACATAATGAGCCTTCATGATTAAATAGCCACTGAAATCAGGTGGTTGGTGTTTATTTCGTTGTCATTTAAACACTTCAGCACAGCCTCTGGTCTTTCAGTGGTATTAATTTGATCATTTCTTCTTGCGGCCCATCAGAGTTCACGTGCCTGCATAAAAGCGCATTGAATATCGGTCACATCACAGGCAATTGAGTATGCTGGCACTGAATTAATGTCCTTGGTTTGCTGATCGGTGATGTTACTTGCCATTTTAATAGCCCTTTCCTTCACTGTCTTAGCGGAGAGTGGTATATCTTTAATTTTTTGTATTATCTTGATTTTGTTTTTGAATTCTGCAAATAGGTGTTCTAATATGTTGATGAATGACTCCTTCATGTAGTCACCATCTGTAAACGGTTTTCCATGCTTTATTATCTCCCAGTTTGTTTACAACAGCCACCTGCCTGGCATCCTACCCTGCTGATAGAAACCTGTGTCACAGGTTGAAATTAACACAGAAATGTTGAAATTAAATATTAATTCACACTTTTACAGCATTTAAAAACGTTAAAAATGTTTGTCCTCCTATAGAAATCATATTAAAACAAAAATATATATTAACCTCCCCCATCTTTTTGAACATTTTTGAAAAAGCTCCAGGGAGCCACAAGGGCAGCGCTAAAGAGCCGCATGCGGCTCTAGAGCCGCGGGTTGCTGACCCCTGTTGTAAGTGAACGTCTTTTTGCAGTATTTGCACAAAGTTTGTGTTTTGTCTGTCGCACTTTACCCCTGTCATTTTACTCTGCCGCCCAATCTCTTGCTTGTCGCTCATGTGCAGGTAAAGTAAGTTTGTTCCTGTAAACACAGCGCCCTCTCTGTATAAAAAAAAACAAAAAACATTGCGATTCGTTCAACATTTCTACCGGTTTGAATCGTCACTTCTTTTAATCGATTTTCAACCAGCTTACAATGAATCGTTACATCCCTAGTTTTTACCTTTATAAAACCAGTCAGTTGAAATGTTACCTTATGAATCAGATATTAGGTTATCTTACAGAGATACATTATCAGAGAGCATTTAAATTGGCAAAAAACTAAAAAAAATAAAACAGTACTCATCAATATTTAGCATCTGCTTTCCCTGAAATGAAAGACTATGCAAATATCAACTACACTACACTCCTGAGTACACTAATTTCAAAGCTAATGATCGTAGCCTAAAAGCAACCAAACTCCAAATGCATGGGGCCTTTAAAGCATTTTGGGAGAGAGAGAGAGAGAGAAAGAGAGAGAGAGAAAGTCATTTCTTGTGAGGTAAAACACAAGAAACCCTGGTCCTCATTGAGATGGAAATAGGTCTGGATTTTTGTCGTCCTACTTCACTCCTCCTTTTCTTTGAGCAGATGAGAGAGCGAGTGGAGCAGGAGAGGGAAGAAGAGAGGATGAAGGATTTCTACAGTTTTTCACCGTGATAAACAAGAGAATCTTTCAGTCATTCTCTCTGAGTCACTTCTGGCCTATGGGAACGGCATGCATGTCTGCTTTGACTGAAGGGGACTCTTTAATTATTAGACCAAAGACAAAAGACTGTGTGTTTGCATGCTCCCATCTAACCGAATGTCTTGTGGCAAGAATATCTTTATATTATCTTTCGTCTTTTAGGGTGTTTGCGTGTAAGAAACTTTCACGCTTGGTCTCTAGAGTCACTCTTTCGTTACAGAAGCCCATGAGAACAGTATAAGAGAACAGATCAGGTTTGATGTTCTATCCTTCAGCTTCTGCTAGTCCCTTATTAAGACTCTCGGGGATCCTTTGCCACCATCTGCCTGTCCAGTTGCAATATCTTTGTATGTGTGCCAAGTACGCTTGAAACTTTCTGAGTTATTTTAATGTGTCCATATGCTGATCTTTATGTGTGTTGTATGTGTGCATATTTGCATATGCTGCGCTTGCCTGCATTTGTAGTCAGTCAATTTGATCAACGTCAAAAATTTGTGTGGGAAAAAAAAAAAATCTTTTTGCGATGTTGCTTGGTAATAAGCTGATAGAGTGCAAGAGAGAGAGAGTGAAAGGGTGAGAAAAAGAGGGGTTTAATCAACACTTCTCTGCTTGAATGTGGCAGAGCTGTCTCATTTCTCTTCAGAAACAAATCTAATCTCAGTCTGGGCAACCTTCCATTTATGCAAAGCAGTTTTCATTTCTGGAGAATAACAAACTCAAAACATGAGATCAGATTGCATGGAATATTGATGTTGGAGCGCCAAAATAATAAAAACACATTTTTAAATAGGAGATAGTAGGATTACTTCAGAATGAAGTACACTTTTCAATTCAGCAGATATATCAGTTTAGAATGAAAATATTAGTTTTTAATGGGAAGACTTTTTTCAATAGGGTTTAGAAAGTTTTTATTTATATACAGTTGAAGTCAGAATTATTAGCCCCCCCTTTAAATTTTTTTTTTTTTTTTTTAAATATTTCCCAAATGATGTTAAATGGCCCCTATTTTGTCGCACAGGGTGATTACAACTTACAACACACAATTAAACACATATTTTGCAAACTACACAAAATAGAGGCAACAATTTTAATTACATTTACATGTTATGATCCGGAGGAAAAAGAAACTGGTCCATTTGAACTGTAAAAGTTACTGACAAAGTCCCTGTCAAAGTCTGACAAAGTCCCATAGTCTCTGCTACTCCTTCAATAGCAAACCGCCGACAAATCCCATGCTGCGACGTAGGTTATTGTATCAAAAATCAGAAAAATGACATCAACAAACACAGCAATAAGTTGGCTAAACTGTGGTATTGTTGTGAAAATGAACTTTAACTCTTTATTCTCCACAGCTGAATCTCCATCTGTCAGTGATCGTCATCTTCGCGTCGTGATCAGTCTCGTGATCCCCTGCACCTCCACTAGTCTCTGAAGTGAAAGCGCATTCACATTTTACCAGAACTGGAAATACATATTTGGTGATGTACCGTATCAACATCGATGCGATCAAACAAGGGATCCGAACCCAACTCGATTCGTTTATTCGACTCGGAGTCAAATATTTTGCTAAATAATCAATATTTATTTGTTTTAAACAAAGTGCACTTTTAGATTTAAACCTCAGCTGGATGTTTTCATTCACATAGAGCTGTGTTACACACTGCATGGAAGGTAATTTTCAAAAACCCATAATAGGGGCACTTTAACAGAGCAAGCAAATTTTCACAGTATGTCTAATAATTATTTTTTTCTTTCCTGGAGAAAGTCTTATTTGTTTTATTTCGGCTGGAATTAAAGCAGCTTTAAATATAAATAAATATATAAAAATATTGGCCCCTTTATGCAATGTATATTGATAGTCTACAGAAAAAAAACATTGTTATACAATAATTTACCTAATTACCCTAACCTGACTAGTTAACCTAATTAACCTAGTTAAGCCTTTAAATGTCACTTTATGCTGTATAGAAGTGTCTTGAAAAATATCTAGTCAAATATTATTTACTGTCATTATGGCAAAGATAAAATAAATCAGTTATTAGAAATGAGTTATTAAAAATATTATGTTTAGAAATGTGTTAAATAAATCTTCTCTCCGTTAAACAGAAATTAGGGAAAAAATGAACAGGGTGCTAGTAATTCAGGGGTTTAATAATTCAACTGTATTTCTCTCAGCTTTTACTTCTAGTATTAATGAGTGTAATATGTGTAAGGGCTGCTTAAACTTAAACCAGTTCAAGTTTATAGTCTGCCACATGAACTTTAATGACATCCCAGTCCTTATCCGTCCGGTTTGATATAGAGGTACCCACCCTTTGCACCTATAACTGCTTCATCTCTTTTAAGAAGGCTTTCCATGAGGTTAAGGAGTGTGGTTTTAGGAAGTCAGACACTGATGTTTTTGCAAGCTCACATTCTCCTTTACTATAGTAGTATACAACTATAAGCCTACATCATGCTGACAATCGAAAACAAAATACATGGTATCACAGACTACCACAGACTAACCCCCAGGAGTCTGAGGTGATTTTGGGGCCCCTGAGATTGTTTGACACGCCCTGATATTTGTGCCTATTTCAGCTACTTATTACATAGTCATTACATAGACAATAATGCCACTCATCATAGAGCATGAGAAGCAAACAGTAATTTATGATCTATAGAATTTGTAAAATAAAGGCTTGCAGGTTTAGGAAACAGCATGGGAGGAATTTACAGCAGGCCTTGGTGCAGATGAAAAGTAAAAATAAAAAGTGAACAGATGCAGATTGTGTGAAAGGCAAATGCCTGAGTGCTGGTTCTGCTCTCCCCTATGCGCTGCGCATGTGCTGCAGCTTCATTTATGCTTGCGTGTGTTGTGTGAAAGACGTGTAATTCAACCCCAAAGATGTTCAATCAGGTTGAGATCAGGACTCGGGTGCAGGCCAGTTAATTTCTTCCACACCAATCTCACTCGTCGTCTTTATGGACCTTGCTTTGTGTACTGGTGTGTAGTCATGTTGGATCAGGCTCATCCTCATTCTTTTTCCACAATGTTGAGAGCATCAGGTTTTCCATTTAGTATGCTGAAGCAATAAGAGTGTATTTCACTGGAATAAGGGACGACCCCAAAACTAAAATAACAACTTCATACCAATGTCATTAATGCACAATTGACAATCTATCATTGTATCACTTCAATTCACTGAGCTCCTGAGAAAGACCCATTAATATTTATAGTAGTGGTCTGATGTGGTTAATTTTATACAGCTCTGTGTGGCCATGGAAGAGATTGAGACCAGGGGCGCCCCGGGGTAAACTCTGTCCACCCCTGTGGCCATCCCAATATAATTTTGCTGTTGATATTATTAATTTAAATTTACTTATGTAAATACCTAATATTTCAATAGGTAAATAAAATGTAGCCACTAAATTATTGTTGGTGTCACTGACGTAGCTGATTCACTGCCCCTCTCCCTTCCTGAATGGCGGATTTAAGCATAGGCAATATTAGCGATCGCCCAGAGGGGCATCTTGCTGGGGGCAGCACGCAGAGGCTGTGAAAAAAAAAAAAAACATCCCTTAATAAAAAAATTGGGATACCATTTACTTTATGCCAGTGTATTACTTTGAGTGGTAATCCCAAAATAGACACACTGTGTCACTGTGTGAATACCGGTTATTTGTATGCACGCAGATAAAATACGTGCCGCTCATGCGCCGCAAAACTGGAGTAACAGCCTTTTGTGCAGAGGTGTCGGCACACCGTGAGCTTTGCAAGTCGCCAAAACTAAAGTTTATATAATATGATGATGATGGTAATGAGTCAATAAAGTATGTGATATATATATATATATATATATATATATATATATATATATATATATATATATATATATATATATACACATATATGAAAAGTGTTTTTAACTAAAAATGTATTTTTATTTGGTTTGCACATGTACTTGCTGAATTATTTCAAGGAATAAATTGCAATATTTCAAGAGTAATTAATTAAATGAATTAAAAACACATTATTTCATTTAAATTCATTATTTTTTTTATTTGCCACCCCAAGATTTGGTGTGGCCTCTTCCGACCACCACTAAGAACTTTTTCTGGGGGCGCCACTGATTGAGACACCTTATTCAAGGATTTGGGTGAGTGTATAGTGGGGGTTTACAAATTAAGGCGTTTTCTCAGTTTAAGGTATAAGCATCTCATATGTCAAAATGTATACTTGTGTTATTTTATTCGTTTTCTTTTCGGCTTAGTCCCTGGGGTCGCCAAAGCGGAATGAACCGTCAACTTATCCAGCATGTTTTTACTCAATGGATGCCCTTTCAGCCACAACCCATCACTGGGAAACATCCATTCACACTCATTCACACACATACACCACGGACAATTTAGCTTACAATTCACCTGTACCACTTGTCTTTGGACTGTGGAGGAAACCGAAGCACCCAGAAGAAACCCATGTGAACGTGGAGAGAACATGCAAACTCCACACAGAAACGCCAACTAACCCAGCTGAGGCTCAAACCAACTCCGCCACCACAACACCTGTATACTTGTGTTGTGACTTTTATTTATATTGTCATATTTACTTTTATGAGGGACTTTAAGAAACAGTTGCTGGAGGAACGGTAATGGTGACCAGCTGTAAACCTTTAACAGCTTGAACCAAAGAAGACATCCAACAAATCATTAAGCAACAAAAAGAAGATGCAACCTGAGTTGTTAATTGTTTCTAAATAAATTGTTAATTAAAGTAATAGTTCACCAAAAACAAAAAAATTGTCATTGCTTACTCAGCATTTACTTGCTCCAAACCTATTTGACTTTCTTCTGTTGAACACAAAAGAAGATGACCTCCATAGAATTTGTTTTATTCTGTCATAGTAAAGGGTGACTAGATAATGACAGAATTTTCAGTTTTGGGTGAACGATCCCTTTAAAAAATAGTGTATATTCTCAAAGAGTTCCAAAAAACTTTATGTAATTTTAATGATAAAATAAAACATTGTTGTGATTACATCCCGGTAGAGATGTCTGAGACAAAACATTAAAAGTTGCACAGATTTAGGTGAATAAGAAACACAAAATACTGCCTTATTACTCTCAGGGCTGTTTATATCGAAGTTGATAGTTAGCCAGGACCATGTTTGTGTTTCGTACCATCTAATTTTTACGAGGTGGGCTGTTAGCTCAACGATCAACCCTCAACCTAGACATACACTAACAACAATTTAGCTTACCCAGTTCACCTATAGGACTTGTTGGGAAAACCGGAGCACCTGGAGGAAACCCACGTAAACACGGGGAGAACATGCAAACCCCACATAGAAATGCCAACTGACCCAGCTGGGTCTCAAACCAGTGTCCTTGTTGCTGTGAGGTGACAGTGCTACCCACTCCACCACCGTGCCCTTCTTTAAAAATGTTATCACATGTAATTCATAATTTTACTAATTTTGGAGATGACCTTAATTTGAATTTATCTGAATATAGATTGTACT